CCTGGAATTTTCAGGTGGTTCGTTGGTTTAAAGCGATGATAATGGAGGATGGTCGAGGCGAGCGCGCGGCGGCGAGGCGGTTGTGGGAGCGCCACCGACCGCGGGCGAAGGAGGCAAGCGGTTAGGCCTGGGCTGGATCGGCGGCGGTGAGAAGAAAAATAGAAACTGTATGTACCGGTTTGATGTTGAAGGCGAAGCACACTGTCCATTGGATCTTGATCCAACGTATCCAAGGGGGAAACCGACTGATCCTCTGCAAAATAACTTTTTTATCCGACTGACGCCTAGCCGCTCATTTTTTACTTTCACCACTGGCATTTATCTTTGACAGCCAGCACAACCCTCACCGAAACCTGGCCTCGCACAAGCTCTGCTTCCCCAGCTCCCCTTCCCTCGGCTCTGCTCCGGGCCGCCCCATTGAGGGCTGCCCGCCCATGGCGGAAGAACCTCCGGTGAAGAGGACCAAGACGGAGGAGGACCTTGGTGCGGGGTCAGAGCCAGACGCCGCGGCGGCGGCGGCTGCGGCGGCGGCGGCGGAACGGGAGAGGCCGGGCGGCGAGGTGACCGTCAAGATACAGTCCAAAGCTCTCCGCTGCCGGATCTGCTCCGAGCCCCTCAAGCCGCCCATCTTCAAGGTGACACCACCCGCGCGCCGCAGTCCATCCCTCTTCTTGTTCTTTAATTTCATTTGCCCGGATGGGTTCCTGAGAGCAGAGTGTGCAACAGATGTGGCTGTAGCTGCTCCTCTCACTCATACTAGTAGGCCGTAGGCTGCTACTACTGCACATGGGCTGTTTTCTCTGAAATGTGATATGATGCCGGTGGAGTGGATTGGCATTTCCAGTGGCTTGAATTCTTGGTAGGATGCACAAATAGCACCTTGTAGGGTCTTTGATTGGTTGCGTGCCGAACTGAGTATGTAACATTTAGGACCCAGTTTCCGATCCAGTCTGTGTATTAATGACATGCTAGTTTAGCACATATACTGCATATAGACAGCAGGCGAAGTTTCACGCCGTTTGCTCTGAAATTTAAGTCACTGGATCAACGTTTCCATGGCGCATGCTGCGTATTTCCATCTATGCTTTCGGAATGCATCCATTCCTTGTTTGCTCCTCGATGGAAAAGATGAATGCTCCGTTTACCTTTCTGAATGCTGCTGCTCTCGGTAGGATGAACAGATGCCGCCTTGTAGGGTCCTGATCGGTTGCGTGTGAAAACTGAATGTCTAGCGGCTAGGAATCGGTTTTCAGTCTATTCTGTATATGTACTAGTGACTTGCTGGCTTAGCACGTTTTGCTAGGATTCCTAGATGGGACCTTGTAGGACGTTAACTGTTGCTGTCTCCAAGCTAAAAATAAATAAAAATGAAGCACTTAAGACTGAATTTCCAGTCTAGTGGGTAGTAGTGGAATGCTATTTTAGGTAGTCTCTTACTATGTAGGATCTTAAAAACTGGTGCCTCAAGCCTGAATAGGGTAGCATTTAGGGCTCAGTTTCCATTATAGTGGTCAATATGCCAGTGGATTAACATCTCCATGGCATAAGTTGCAGTTATTCCATGGCATAAATTGCAGTGGTATGATAACCAAATGGGAAATGGCACGTTGTAGGGTCTTGA